AGCACGAAACGCTCTGTGGCTAGGTCAGGCCAGGAGCAAATGAAACACTGGTGCGTTTCATCATCATCGCACAGTCGGCAAGTAGGTGATGAAGAGTGACCCGCGGAAGCAACAACCGTCGCCGGCATATCAACAGGCTGGTCTCGGGAAAGAATGGTGAATGTTTGCCGCTTGCCACCCGCGTTTTAAGGTGATCTGTTAGGAGGAACATCCGCAGTTGCTGCCGAGAGTAATCCGACTGGGCTACTGCCTTGGTGGCTGGCGCATTGAAGTGGTGTGCTGCCTTACTCATGTTGTTAGCTACTTCAACGCCAGCTGTTCTGACGTGCGAGTGAAGCCATTGGGGCGACCAGTGCACACAGCTATATTTTATGGCGGTCAGTTTGGCGTGCAGCAACGCCACCATCATACCTACTAGCTCTGGTTGGAGCAGCTCTTGTAGGGATAGTCTGGAGTCACACAAAATCGCCACGGGCAGCTAGGTTGACGTGGCAGTGAGGTGGTGAGCTGCCAAATGAAGGCCGGCCAATTCAGCTGCAGTGGAGCTGGTATGAAAGGGAAGTCGGCACTGGGTGGTGGTCCCAGTCGATGGTATGCCGCAGACAGCAGAGACTGAACGAAGGCTTTCCCGAATGAAACCAGCCGTGAACACCAGTAGTAGTTTGCCTGTCATAAAGTTTCACCACGGCTGTCAGGTGGAGCTCGCACGCAGAAGTCCGCCTCTTGATGCGGTGTGCAGCCCTAACTGTATGTCCAGAGGCTGCTTATGGGGTGAAGGGTATAGGATAGGAGAGGGAGCTCCGGGCACCAGCTCTTCATAGAAACTGCAGAACTGTGCCATTCGGAACGCTGGTCGGCTCCGTTGTCTCCGAAGAAGGGCAGTGCCCCAGGGGGCTCTGTGAAGACGATCCACATTATGCAACGCCTGTCACAGCATGAAGAGAGGAAGAGGCCAGTTCTGGGCCTCCACCAGTGTTGCGGCTAAAGGCGATTGGCGGTGAAGTGCCATGAAACCCCGAATGGCCACGTGGTGTTGCCGTTTCAGTTGCTCCTTGTGGTGTAGCGCCAGCTGCACCAGCGTCAGTGCGTACGTTTGCGCTGCCGTTTCAGCCCACTAGACCCTAAGGCCAGCTGCGAGGTGCCCCATTGGCCCCTGCGGAGTTGCTTGTTTACTGAATTCTCGATCCTGGTGGCTTTGAAGGCAACATGTGGGACGGCTGGTATCCAGGTAAAGCGGCGGTGTATCCTTAGCACCCGGTACGCCACTGCCTTGCTCCACGGATTCGGCCGGTCACCTTGCATGAACCTTTGGACGACCCTTCATGCAACGTCTCTGGGGTGATCCGGCAGCGCTTCCATCTTCTCGGATGATGCGGTCAGTTCAATTGCCCTCAAAAAAGAGGTTTCAGCATCCAGGGAGCGTTGCAGAGAGCCCCTTGTGGCTTTGGAGTTCCGCCTAGGCCCCTTGACACAGAGTGTCACGTCATCTGCATGCAAGGAGCACTGGGTGGAGTAGTGCTTGTCAACAGCCTTTGCGGCCAGCAGCTCAAAAGGCACCAGGTTTTACAAAAGGGGGTTGAGGAAAGAATATTGTGGAACGCCAGCTCTCAGTGGTCGTGCATCGCTGAGCGCGTGTCAAACCCTATCCCGGAGGGTCCATCCTGCCATAAAGGCACTGATGAAGGTACAAAGGCGGTCCACGATGCCGAGTGTCTCCAAGGCACTCTCTATGGCTCTATAAGGCAGGCTCTAGACTTCCAGTCGAAAGAGAAGGGCCACTACGCCGTTTCTCCTGGCCTCCTATAAAGTAGAGACGACGTCCGCAATCGAGTCTACTGTGCATTAGTGGCGCCTGAAGACCAACCACTGTTCCAGTAGGAAATCTTTTGCCCCCGCAATCCAATATAGGCATGCCAGTGCTATAGATAGCATGAGCTTGCAGACAGCAGAGGTGAGAGAGACAAACATGTAGGATGTGAAGCCGGCAGAAGGGCGACCCCGTTTCCGGATCGGTACCACCACGGTGGTGAGCCATGCTTCAGGTGTGATGCCACTCTCCCAAATTCTGTTGAAAGTCCTCAACAGGTGTTGTCGTAAAGCCAAATCCACATTGCGAAGCATCTGGTATCTGATGCCGTCGGCAGCGGGCGAACAACGGCGGTTCGTTCTGGCTAGAAGAACGTTCAGTTCATGTAAGACGACGCAGTCAGTCACCAATTGCCCTCCCTGTCGAGAAGAGTACGTTTTGTAATTGTGTATCTGTGTCACCATTGTGTGTCTTCACTGCTAAATATTTATTTCTTACCGGAACAATACATTGGTACTCATTTTAATGAATGTGAAAGACAATAAATGTGCGGCTCGTCTATGCACGACCAAGCGTATACAAATAAATAGTAGTAGGAGGATAACCACTCATTGTTCAATGAGTGGTTATCAAAGCATAACTGCCATGAATTTGGGGACCAGGCTAAGCTTGAAGGACTATTTCCTACCATGTTCTGGTTATTAGTCGACCAGCTGTTAAATATTGATCAGCTATCAATAACCTATGACAAGACAGTGGTCATGCATCAAAGTCTGGTTAAGCCCGCCTATATGTATTTTCTAGAATGGATTGTTTTGACCATTTTAATTTAACAATTGACGCATCGCACGTACAGTGGGAATCGATGGTATGCGAAGCAAGAGTACGGAAGGTCGATATGTCACTCTAAAATCACCACAACGTTACGAGGCATATGGATGTAGTACGCAGTGAACACAAGTGGAAGTGTTATGCGAACTAAGGTATCTAGATTGGATGCAAGTAGGTCGATTTTAGTCGCGTAACAATGCAACCGCTAACGTTAGAGATATCAGCCCCAGCAGTAGTAGGCATAGAAATTATGCCTTACACGACTTCCATGCCATGAACTTCATGTTTGCACCTGGTATTTGTGTTCATCGTACATTCACGTCATGTAATATAAAACTTGGTATGTGTAAAGCTAGCGAAGCGGCAGCGAGTGTGTTATTAACGTAGCATGTGTCATCTTTTACATGACACGCATGTCGTCATTATCCTGTTGGGACGTGTCATTACCTTCGCTGTCCATTCGCGTCATGTAATACTAAATACGGTATATGTGAAGCTAGCGAAACAGCCGCGAGCGCTTCATAAGCGTGGCATGTAGTCATGTTCTTGTATGACAAGCATGTCAGGATTTTCATATTCGCACCAGTCATATACCTTCGTTATTCCTTAACGTCAAGTAATGTCAAACTTGGTACATACAGAGTTAGCGCAACCGCCGCCCAATCACTATGATTGTAGCATGTAGTCTTGTTTTGCATGACATGCATGTTGTGATTAGCATGTTTGGACGTGTCATTTACCCTTGTATTCTATTCACGTCACAAAATACCGAATTTGGCATATGTGAAGCTGGTGAAACGTCCGCGTGTGCATTCTGAGCGTGGTATGTAGTCATGTTCTTCCATAATACGCATATCAGGATTATCACGTTTGCACCAGTCATTTACATTCGCCATCCACTCACCTCACGTTATACCTAATGTGATATTTGTGGACCTAGCGAAACGGCCACGAGTGCATCACGAGCGTAGTATGTCTTAATGTTTTACATGACATGCATGTCTTGATTTCCGCCTTGCGGCCTGCCACTGATGTTCGCCAGTCATGTCATACCATACAAGTTTTGCGATGTGTGAACACAACCACCGCAAGAGCAGCAAGACTATGATATGTAAATGATGACATTGATGACATACATGTCATATTCTTCATGTTATCACCAGCCGCATATGCTAATCATACAGTCATGTCACGCCCTAAAAATTCTTGTATAGATCCCATTAGCGAAATGGCCAGGTGAGCTAAAAGCCGTAGGTGGCTAGATAGATAGATAGATAGATGGATAGATAGATAGATAGATAGATAGATAGATAGATAGATAGATAGATAGATAGATACGCTCAAAGTTGTCGATATTCACTTAAAAATGGTTCGCATTTATATTTATTACGGTTAGTAATTGGCTATTGTCAGCTTTGACCATACAATTGGTCACACGCAACCCTTTACTAAAAATATTTGTTTATTTCTGAATTATTGAGTAGCTATATTACGGCTGTTGATTGGTTATCGACTGGCTATCACTAACCTAAGATGTAAACAATCTACTACCCAGTGGCGCTATCATAGTTTAGAGACCCCGGTGAACATGAATCTAGCAGAACAAAATTAGCAAGCTATACATACAAAATCAAAACGGAAGACCTTTGTAAGATAAGCCTCGTTATTTCAATGCAAAAAATTTTTAACACTGGCCATTTATTTTCGTGGTTTTGTTTTGGTATACCTTGGTTTGTGTGCGCGGACTACATGCAACAGCGTAGTGAAAAAATTTGGCAAATTCCAAGCCTACTGGGAATCCACTGCATGTGAAGCAGTCTGCCAATAATTTTCTAGGCTGTATTTCTTACACGGACTCAAAGTGGACCTAAGCTTTTTAAAAAGTGTTGTATTGGTGTGAACATCGTGTACGTACCAAGAATGGTGACTGCAATGGCGTTTAAAGGGTGCAATATAACCTTAATATTTGCATTCCAGGATCATAGGAAGCACGTGGTCATTTCGCTAGCTTGATATTGGAGCTGCATGACGTCACTGTAGGGAGAACAAATCTGACGGGTGGTAACAGGAAAATAATTACATGCATGTCATTTAAATAAGAAGAAACGCAAAGTGAACTCGCTGCGATTTCAATAGCTTGATATGTACTAAAGGTAGTCTGCTGTGACGTGGCTGTACAATGAGCACTCATGACAGGTCATAACATGAACATAATCGATTGCCTGTGATACATGACATGATTTACGTGCCATCAACATGGTTAGGTGTATTGCGTGCAGTATTGTGTTGAGTGTTGTGTGCAGTAGTTATTATGACCAAATAAATGTGGTGCATTTTGGTTTTCATTCTTTGTTTCACTCAGGGTGGTCAGCATGGGTTTCTGTGGCTACCGCCAGTGTAGCAATACTCGGCTACCATAAAGATGTGATGGAGCACTGCTCTGGGAAAAAACAAGAGAAGCTTTGGTGTTTGTGTCATGGCTTCGGCAGATTGTTGACTGGCGCACCTCGTCTTATTGCCATGGCGATGATTGGGATCAAGCGTGACTTGACAGCCTTCCTGATTATCTGTAAGCGCTCCTCATGCATGCAGTTACGGCTGCATCAGTGACACGAGTCCGGTTCGCAAATGTGTGATGAAAAACCATAGGTGTTAGTGCTTCATTTCACTCGCGATGGACGTGTTCAGATCACCGATTGTTTGGATGCGCGTATCATTGAGAAAGTGATAAGGCATGTGTGCAATTTAGCAGTATTTCCATGCCGGTATTTTTTCTGACCTCGAACGCACTTCAGCTTGCCAGTTGAGACATGTTTTCTCCTTTCAGATTACAAAAAGAGCACCGTTCGTTCATTTCAGTTTTTTTTGCTTATTGTGCGCTACTGAAGTGAATATATCTTTTGTATTGAGCTTCTTAGCTTTCGCTGTAGATAAACCTGAAGGTGCAGTTAAGTATTGTGTTGCGTTACCTGTTCCTTGTCTCCTGGGCACTGATATACACTCAGAATAGTATTCCTAATGCAAAAAGACAGCGCAATGAAAACTATTCATAAGTCTGCCGATAAAGATCCTCTTCGCAACTAATTTCGATCTCTGCAAAGAAACATGTAAAGCAATAATGAAATAGCATTGGTGAACGTAAACGTTAGGTATATTGAATAAGTGTTTTACTTTTGCGAGCAACCCATTTGACGTTGCCCATAGTTCCGTAATAGTACTACAAAAGTCCTAATTATGGATTACCTAGCTAACATGCAAGCGATATAGCATATGAAACGTAAGACTGCATGACTTAGAAGAAGGGGGCGTAAATAAATAGAGAACCCATAAATAGATCACAATGCCTTAAAAATAATTTAAAAGTACTTTTAGCAACTCAGAGCTAATTCAAATCGCATATTATTTAATTGTTTGTTAGATTATTCTTCAAGTCTATTATAATAACAAAGCCAAGGTTACTTTACAAAAGGAGACAGAACACAAACGTAGGAATTCATTCGAGGTTTAAATAAACATTTACTATGGCTAGGCGAACCATTATCTCAGTCGAAATCAAACGAGGCCTCCGCATCAGAGACCGAATGCTGATGTTCCTCAATAAAGGGAAGCTTATTACATCCGAGACTGAATAGAAGAACGGTACACAACTGTGAGTGAAAAAGCCTGGCTTCTGTTATGTGGCTAAATCTATCGCATCGGCTTGAGCAAGTGTGGCAGCAGTAGCGTCATGTGACCCACTCGCCGGGGAGAGCGTCACATCAGCGCCTATTGTGTTCACTGTGGAGAATGAGTGATGCATTACCCCATAGCTTCACTGTCATTTCGCTGATCAGCCTTCGCGCTAGTTGTACGCTGGTTGAGTCGTGTGTGCTTGTTCCTCAGCTCACGTAACAAGCTGAAACAAATGATTGGTGCTCATGGTACTATGATGCGTGCTTCAAGAAATAAATATACTCATACAGTACCGATAGCTTAGTGACAGTCTGCCAACTCTCAAGCATCCTCAGTCTCCTGCTAGAACGCCTGCTTGAATGGAGCAGCTTAGCACGTGATGCCGAAGTTGAAAAACCACCAAGGTGAGCGAAGATGTAGCACTCGTCATCATTGTCCAGAAACACAGAAAAGGGAGCGAAAGAATCCTAACGCCAACAATACTAACAGTAGCAAGTATTGAGAAAACCAAAGCAACATACAATTTCCTTGAATCACTCGGTTAATCGCTTGACTGCATAAGTGTTTTGCTGAAAAGTACATTTTGGCGGGGGCCACTTTTAGGCTAAATGTAAGGCAAAAAGTGTTCCACAAACAATGAAAACTTTCTTTTTCCTAACATAAAGATGAATGGGAAAGAGTTGTAAGAATACAAAATATTTATTTTTATTTAGACAAATTTTTTCAGCGTGACAAGCCACACTTACAACAGGCGAGCCTATAAGAACGCAACTTGCGCAAGCGACTGGCTCCTACAGTAGAATAACTTAATTACCAAGGGTACAAATCCTCTGTGTCTCCTCTTATGTTACGAATTCTTGAATCTCGCTTAAGGCTGTAATAAGCCGCTTGACACAAGAAGATGGCTTGCACATTTTGAGGTAAGTTGCCTAGTATATGAGCTATAGCCGAGCACAGCTTGGTTTCTTGCATAACAATTTACGTGTCAAAGTTACGACAATAATGCTAACTGGCATTGAGACTTTTAAGATGCAACACGTGCCTCACATCACACATATTGAAGTGAATGGGTTCAGTTTACTTTTTCTCATCAGACTGGAGATTTTTGCGAAGTTATCTCTTGTTTTACCTTGGAAAGGAATCCGAGCTTCCTTGGCAGATGCCTGATGCTTCAACTTTACACACTTATTCCCGCCATAACTGCGATTGTGCTCACGTGACAACGTGTGAATAGCAATGCTCGTCACCTTCGTGAACTCACATAAAAAGGTTCGCGAAATAGAGTTATGTTATTGGGCTGAAATAAAAAAATGCACATTCTTTTGATGCAGGTCACAACGTTGTGGTGATGCTGTTCATCATTTTAATGTTGAGGAATATGAAGAAAGCCCCAAGATTGTCCGGCTGGAAGGAACGTGCTGAAGTCCAGCTAACAGCATTGGCGTGCGTGTTTTGTGTCAGCAACGTAGGTGATCACTGCAAAGTAGTCATGCAAACCACGTACTTTGCGTCCACTTTGCTAAACTTGCGCCTTATCTGCGCCTACCTCACCGATCAAGATAATCAATTTTCTTCTGAAAAAATCACCGTAATTGTCTTCGCCGTAATAGAGCTAGGTAAGTGTATACTGGTTCTTTTGTAATCCTTATCTGCACTATACAAGGTATATCAATATTGTTTTCAAAATTTAGGAAAAGAGCGTCAGAACAAGATTGCCGTGGAAGTGTGCAACAAAAGTTTTTCTTTTGCGCTCTTTATACTTTTGTGTCTCTTTATGCTTTTTTATTCATCAATGTAACATGTACCAAGTGAACCTCCAAGATTACCTTCTACTTTGTTAGAGTTTTTTCTCATCTCAAGTCAGATGGGTGTACGTCTACATTTTGAAGAACAGTTTGGAGACGTTTTTTAATTAAATGAACCACAGACAGGAAATTTTATTACTGTCCTGAAGGGCGACAACGAAAGTCATATTGCCGGGGAGGAGCCGCCGCGGGCTGGCCCTGCCTGACAGCCATGTCGCGGGTCCTCTGGATGACCCGTAGCTTAGCGGTGAGGCCGAACCTCTTCAGCGCCTCCTCACATTCTGCTGTCGACATGAGGCAATCCTTTTGACGTAACGAGAAACACCAAGTGAACATGTGCTCTAAAGTGCAAAAGATATCTCTTGAATCCGTACGATCGAGCTCTTAGGAGACCCCGTACCTGCTGACGTTGCCTAGGCTAGAATTCAACCCAGTTAGCAACATGCGCAGATTGAAACATTGAGGCCTGTAGAGGCCAGCGTGAGGTGGGGGATAGAACCCCCTTCCGAGCTTTATCATCATCATCTTTAGCCTGACCATGCCCACTCGGGCAAAGGCCTCTTTCACAATCCGCTAATCATCTAATTCTTGTAATTTTTGCAGCCGCATTATACCTGCAATCTTTCGTTCTCATTGGTCTCCTGTTCGTGCGTTTGCCTTTTTTTTGAGAACCCAGTCAGTTACATTCAATAACCAACGGTTATCCTGGCTACGTGCTACGTATAGTCATTCAAATCAGTCACAAAAATAACGCTAACTAGAAAATTAATACCAAAATCACCAAAACTACATTTACCATGCTACCCTTTATAATATTTATTCTGGGAATCTTAAATATATATGGTTTCGCCGCAATGTAGCAAATATGAGAGTGCAATAACTAGAATAATATGGAGAGAGTAGACCACATTCGGCAAGCATTCTTAACTCACAAAGCGTAATCTACCAATAACCTTCAAGATAAAGGTATGTACCAGCTGAATCTTGCCCGGTACTTACCTACGGAGCAGAAACCTACAGGCTTACAAAAAGGGCTCAGCTTGAATTGAGGACGACGCAGTGAAGAATAGAAAGAAAATGATGAGTGTGACTTTAAGACGCAAGATGAGGGCACAGTGGGTCAGAAAACAAAGAGAGGTGAAGGATAATATAGTTAAAATTAAAATGAAATGAACATTTACAAGGTATGTAGGGCGTAAGCAGTATAATGCACTGGTCATTAAAAGTAACAATCTATTTCCACTTCCTCCACTAGCTTGAACAGCCGAGCTGGAAAAGTGTTCGAGGTTCAAAAAAGGTGCTCCTCAATGACTCGAGTGCTCGGTGGCAGCTCTAAGGAAGAGTCGTTGTCCGGTGAAGAGACGCTTATTGTTGCACTCAGGTGTCGGTCCATGTCTAAGCCCGAACCTCCGCTCTAATTTGACTTCCGAAAACCCTCTTTTCTGGTGTCGGTCAAAAAAAGGGTCTCTGCACAGGCTAATCATACGTGGGGGCTTGCATCACGACATCCAATTCCAGGAACATTTTCACAACAGACACTGCATTGGTAAAAAGAGCAGTACCAAGTACAACACGCCAGGAGATAGTTCTTTGCGTTATGCGTGTCGTCACAATCTGCTATGTTAGCCCGTGCATCGGCTGACATCGGCAAATAGCTGTTCTCACGCTTGAGCTCCATCAGCCAGCGCACTAAACCTCGTTTCCTAAAAGCTGGCCTAAACACGGCGCTAACGTAGCCCGATCCTGTGCGTTTACAATGTGTACATGCGACAGCGAGGTAACATGCCATCCGAAGAACGCTCGCTAAAGACGTGTAGAGAGAGGAAAGGTAGGCCGCATAATTCGAAGGCCGTCTTGTAACCAAAAGGCGAATGCGTATTGCAGCTATGTATCGTCGGCCCTGTAGCCATAGTCTTACGCAATTCTCAAATGGCAGGCGTGAATGACAAATTATCCTTTTGAAACCAGTCGAACGCGCTTTGTGCGTTTCTTGCGAGACGCGCTTTCCGGCCTGTTTATCTCTTCTTCCCAAACTGCCGTCAACCGGTTCACAGACCAAGTCACTTTTCTTTCTAAGGCGTCAGTCTTCCGCGTACCCCTTCACGGTACACGGGAGATCGCTCTTTGCTTTGCAGCACCTTTACAATGCGCACCGCAACACAACCATGCTCAGCATAGCTTTTACAGCAAAAGCTGTTATGAGATCAGAACACGAATCATGCGCGGCACCATAGTTTTCTGCCGCCACCGCCGCTGGTGTCCGTAACCAGTATCGAAAGAAAAAAGCAATAAATGAATAACACTAATGATAGCTCGGAACCCGGGTGCGCTGCGTGCCAGCCCGGTATTCAACCACTGAGGCACCTTTTATCTATTTTTTGTTGTAGCATAAAAATATTTATTTTTGGTTAAAGTTCACACACAGGCGGAGAAGAGTAACAAATTACAATACACAACAAACATAACAGAAAAATTACTACGGCCATATAGCACTGCTGTCACATATCACGTCTTAAAATTTGTTAATGGTCAGTGGGGATATTACGCTGACTATAACACATCATTTTCTTCTTACAACCTCGGAAAAACTTGAGATACTTTCCTTAAGATACAGTCGTGCTGGTCTCCTGTCAGGATTGAGCACTCAGTGCGCCAAGCTTTCGCTGTTAGTCCATTGCTGTTTTGCAGCTACATTGAAACATTATGTCTGGTGATACGGCAGAATGATATCTTAAGTAGCTTTAGATCACAATTCTCAGAGGTCAAACTACTTGCTTATGCTCGTGAAGTTGACATACGTAGTACTTCTTATGAAGGTAATCAAGAAAGACTAGAGCCCCCGCAGGGCACCTGCGTAAACAGGCGTTTGGTACTTAGTGACACCATGGACACGAGATAATGGGGGGGGGGGGGGGTCGGCTCCCTCCCACGTTAGCCGTGCGTGGCTTTGCCGCGTCCGGGGAAAAGGAATCTTGGGGGTTGAACCAATGCCGGCTGATTGGACCTTTAAGGCCCCCCGACAAGGGCAACACACCTATTTGGCCCCGGATTGACGTTGACAGCACCGCTGGGCTGACACACACTGGGAAAATCGGCAGTCGTTTTTTCCCACCTCTTTCTCTTCCTAGATCTTCGTCTTTATCTCCTACTTTTTATCTGTCCTGTCACCATCTTTCTTCTATTTACTTACTAATTTCTTGGGGGCGAGGGTTAATCTTCTTTAGTTGCTCAACCTTGGGTAGTTATGTTTGGTTATAGTGGCAATGTACGGCTGGCGTCTGCAGTCCTATACAAGCGCTTCAGCGTCCCCTAGTTGAGCTCCATGGTGGGCGGCCGCCATTGCTGCCGAAACAACCAAACTATTTTGAAACACCTTCAGTTTCCCGACTACCTGATGGTCTGCCTCAAAAAGGGCGCGCACCGAAGAACTATTATGTTTTAACCACCCCGGCCTATCCTTTCCAATATTCCATGTAAGTTACTGGGAAACTTCGAACGAAAAAGGAAGATGAATTGCTCCATTGCACGTTTCAAGGTCGCTGACCGAAGTCCTAGGACGAGGTTACAAGGTAACTAAGATGCCAAGTGGTGACTTCCTGCTCAAACTAATTGAGCAACAACAATTTAAGAAACATTGCAATCTAACAGATTTCGGCAGTATTCTAATATTAGTTTCGCCTGACCGCTGGATGAATATCTCACGCGGAGTTGCCTCAAAAACAGACATCCTCGGGCTGTCTGAAGAGAAACTCCTAAAAGGTTGAAAAGAGCGGAATGTAACTGAAATAAACAAATCATCATCATACGCGACGACAAGAAAACATCTACAAAGCACCTCATTTTAGTATTTGCGTCTAGTTTATTACCTAAAGACATTAGGACACGTTACCAAAAAATCTCTGTCCGCCGATATATTAACCCTAGACGTTGCTACAAATGTCACAGATTTGGTCATGGCTCGCAGAGCTGCCGAGATCAAGAGACTTAAGCAATATGTGGAGACCTAGCCCTTACGAAAATTCTTACTGTAAAAACAAAGAGAAGTTATTGAGCAATGACAACAGATGGGATCAAAAATACATGACGGTTCAATTGAAATACCATTGAATAAATTGTTGACCAGTATTGAAATTTGGCGCATGTCTTTCAATCGAAATCCGTCAATCAGCTCGATATAGATTCATCATTGAGAAAAAAATGAAATACGTTGTGGATCGTTGTGCAAAATACGTTGTGGATCAATTGAAATATCACAAAGGCAATTGTTGACAAGCTTTGAAAATTACCCCACGACTTTCAATTGAAAACCTTCAATGAATTATCAATGCGAAAAAAAAACAAATGTCCTTCACAGTTCACGGCGGCTTTTCGCCGATAATGTGGTAGATATTATGACCGCAGGTAATCAGGAAACCATTAGGATTACAATCACCTATATGTGCAGACAACCCCGGCACTGAAATGGATTGTAGGACCTCATGCACGTGAGTCTGATGTCTTACCCATTGCACCACAGCGCCAACGCATGAAGGCGAGTCTTTTTCTGGGGTATGTGTCTACAAAACGGCTTTTTGAAAATCGTCGGCGAAACTTGAATCATTATTTGTGCCATATGCATTTTTTGCACATGCATTTGACCAGCAAATAGTTTGTAGGGCTTCATGAACTCGAGACAACAACAGTGAGTGCTTTAGGCTCCGACTGTGGTTCGTAGTGCGCCGTTTCGCAAGAACGATTAACGTGTGCTCGTGCGTCGTTTGATTGCTTCCCAGTGAATCGCGGGTGTTTCGCTCACTGAAATTCGCGCATAC